GTGGGTGGGCCATTCGCCCTTGGGGGGTGATTTCTCACTTTCTCTCTCTCTTTCTGGTGAGTTCATGCACCCTATAGCAAAAAAAAAACAAACCTCTTCAAAAAAGAAAAAGGCATCAATGAAGTTAGAACAGCACATAGCAAAGAACTTTATAAAACTATTAATGGCTTAAATTTATCTAGCTTATTTACATGAACTAACAAAGTCAAAACACATAGCAAACTTTATAACCCATGAATAGTTCAATTTACTTAGTTTAGTGAACAGTGCTGAACGTTGGGATAGAATAAGCCTAGGGTTTTAGGTAGGGGATACACAACTTAGCTATATGACCTGAAAAAGATATTTAGCTTCTACACGAAACGGGAGGTATTAAAAACCAGATAAGTGACAACATCCTAATATCCTTTGAATCCCATGACCAATTTTGGTAGCTTGGAATGGAAAAAAAAAGTAATCACTCTACTTCAGAAATTATTGCTTGGTAGGAAGAACATAAATTTCTGGTTTAAAAAGGGCTTAAGTATCCACTTTAAGTTAAAACAAAAACAAATCCTTTGATGTAACCATATGGTGCTCATAAATCAATTTATGCTCCTAAAACTTCCTTAAAAGATAATAAGCTTTTATGGGTTAATTATAAAACGGAATGAGGTGTGAAAAACGCAGAGCCTTGCTAATTCTACTAATTAATTAAAAGAACAAAAGTCAGTGGCTTGATTTATGCAAAAATACACATTATAAAGCAATAGTTTTCCAATATATTGATATTTCACCTTTAAGCAAAAAGATTAGAAAGATAATCCATTTTACTGAGATTGGCTGTGGTACTTTCTCCTTGTGGCATTAGGTTAGCTCAAAAAGGTTCAGATATTTGGAGCATTTTAGGCTAGGGATGCCCAATCTGTAATGGCACTGTTATCTGCAGACTCTGTCTGCAGTGATCCTTAAATGTAGAGCTTGATCGTCTGCTATTCTGCCTTTAGCACCTTAAAAGCATTCCTGATAAATGGTAAGCATTTAATAAATATTTAATAGATTACAAATGAACTAAGCCTGGGTTAGAATATGCCTCAAAAGTTTTGACTAAATTCATATGAAAATAAAACAGTATTTCTTTTTTAAAGAATTATTTTATTTGCCTTTATTTATTTAAATTTGACCAGAGTGGGACAGTGAGAGAGAGAAAGCAAGCTGCCAGGTCCGGGACTTGAATCACGGTCGGTCATATGGGAGTCCAGCACCCTTAACCACCACACCACCTGCCGGCTCCCAAAATAAAACAGTATTTTAAAGAACAGTGTTAATTAGTGAAATTATGTAGTAAATCCTATACAGTAAAATCCACTCGTAGAAAGTTTATGCATATACCACTGTTTATATGAAAATATAATCCTCTAAGTGGAAATTAGAAAAGCTAAGTATTTCCAGCTTTATAACCCAGACTTGGCGCACTTGTTATCATTAAATATTTATTAAATGTCTGCTCCAAACATCTGAAACTTTTTGAGCCCATGTAATACCACAAGGGGCAAGTTTCACACCTGATCTCATGAGCTGGGTCTCAGTAAAAAAAAAAAAAAATCCACTGCAATATAAAAACAATGTACTGTATAAAATTATCTTCAGTGTATATGAAAGCTAAATTTCCTGCTTAGACTTGGGTTCCATCCCCTGATATCTTATTATGAATACAGGAATACATTAAGATCTGAAAAAACAGGAAACCTGAAACACTTCCGGTGCTGGCATTTCTGTTAAGGAATATTCAGGCTGTAGAGTAACATGAGTACAGACAGGGAGACAGGAAAGCAGGCTCGAGTATAGAAAAGAGGTACCCTACCTAGTCGGGCATCAGGGAAGTCTTCCTGGAGTGAAATCTAAGCAGGAGCCTTCCAACTGTTCCCCTTTGGTTAGCAGCAAGGACCTCCTAAGAGGCCAGCTGTTTTTGCCATCCTCTTCTTTAATCCGTGGCAAGGACTACATTAGAAATATAATGTATATTTGATTACTTCTAGAAGTAAAAGGTGCCTTTGATGGAAATAATTCCATTATGGAGGTCAGAGGTTAGACATCTATTTATATGTGGTAGGTTGGCACTAACCATTTTTTCCCCACCTAGAAGGAAAAGGTTTTGGAGTATGAAAGTAGATTATCTGGTTAGATCAACATATTCATGTGAAGGGTAGGTTAGTGTCCGGTTGAGAAGTGTTGAAGCTAAGCCAAAGAACTTAAACTTCCTTAGTTCCATTATTTTTGTGGAAGTTTACACTAGGCTAGGGCGGGATGGGAGAGGAAAGAAAAACGGAATAAACCACCACAATGCCTTAAGATTTACTGCTGTAATAGAACTATTTTCAAGACACTTTAGCCAAGTGTGCCTATGAGAGTCAGGGGAAACTTGCCGGGAATGGCCGTAAATGAGCGGGAGGACCGTCGGGACCCAGCAGTTCTCCAAGGCGGGGATGACTCGCAGGGACCGCTCGGCAGGCCGGGCTCGAGAAGTAGGAGCCTAATGCTGTCGGGCGCTTGGCTTGGATTTTTTACTTTAATGAAAGGGAGAACGGGTATGTTATTGGAGGAGGCGCGCTGCGAACGCGCAAAACGAATTTTCAAAAGCCTTAGTGGAAGGACTCGGGCGCTCACAGCTTTCCAAGATCCCTCCTGACTTACCCGGATAACCCTCCTTCTTCGTTTTGGAAGAGGTCCCTTCGTCATTTACCAGTTCGATCTGAATCTTAACTACCGCTGTCTCTAAGGACCTGAATTTTTCCAAACGAAAGAAAAAAGTCCTCTTTCCTTTCCCAAGCAAAGACTAACGTCTGAGACTCAGCGGATTGAGCCGTGGACGAAGGGGTAGCTTTTCGAATTCGGCGCCTTCGCCGACGTAGCACCGCCTCTTCCGGAACGTGGCTGTCCCGTTTCCCTCCGCTCTCCAGGCTGTACTCTCGGCTTTCCTTTCCGCGCCCTAGCGGGCCCGGTGGGCGCATGCGTAGACCTGTTGCCGGTGCCGCCCAGTTATGTTCCCTTTCACGGAGGCAAATTCCCCGGCTCCGCTGGCGTGCGGCCACGATAGAGCCGCGCGTGCCAACCAGCTGTCCGCTCGCTCAGGCACTTCCGGCGCCTCTCTGACTACAGTGGCGCGAAATCCTGAACCGCGCACGCGCGGGCAGAGCCCCGAGGGGAGGGGTGGCAGGCGAGGCGCAGGCGCGGGCCCGCCCGTGGGGGGGC